TGTTTGTATTTCCTAGGGATCTTATCACTTCCCTACTGCAATAAATTTTTATGACAACTCCGTTATCCAGCTTTTTTTTTTTGTTTGTTTTTTTAAAGAAACCTCACTGCTGTCCATTTTGGATCCTTAGGCAAAACAAGAGCTCTGTCTTTTGCTTAAGGTTTGAATGCTTATCAGTTGGGCTGTGTGCACTTTCCAAAAAGGAAAGAGAAATTTGAGTGATGGGATTTCTCCATCTCAAACCTCAGTACCATGCAGGGTTTGGTGGCTGCTCAGGTACATCCTGTTTAGGACCAGAATGGGTAGCAAACAAACACATATGAACTCACAGGACCTCGAAGTATCAGAGCTGGGATACTGCAACCTGCCCAAGGCTCACTATCATAAAAACAAGATTTCTGTTAGCCCCATAAGTCTTTGTAGACTCCATTACTGTACAGTTGTGTGTTACTTATTGTGATTGATGACCGCAAGGTAAACATTAATGAGGATATCAGAGTCTACTATGGCCTGTTGTCAGAAAGCATTAAAAACTAACTACTGTGGAAAATAAACCAACCCAGGGCAACAGCAGCCTTGGAATCTTTTTGATAACTTATTTATACTTACGAGCTAATCTGCAAAATTAAAAGTGTGTACACTTAACAGCGTTCCACTGCAATTGACAAACAGGGTCCTTTCGTTTAGATGACTTTATGGTGATAATATAGAAGCATGGAGGTGGTACACCATACAAATATGCATCACATTTCCAGGTGGCACAGTGTCAGAGTCCAGAAGGAGTGGTCGTCTCACCAGTAGCTAGGCCAATACACAGCAGGGAGATTTTTCCTTGTCTTTCAGCCACTCTAGTGGGCAGGAGGGAACGGGCTCAGGACCTGTAACAGGACCTGTGACAGAATGCTTTTCTCAGCTGCAGGGCTTTCCCACTTCCTGCCACTGAGACACCCAAGCCCCTGAAGGCATCCTTGCCTACTTTGACTGTTGACAAGTGGAGAGTGGAACTGTTTGGTCTAAGTTCACTCAGGCCTGTAGAGGCAGGTCTGGGGCTAACCCCCAGGTCTTCTGATCAGCAGCCCTGGGCAGGGCTGTGGTGGTAGCAGTGGTGGTAGGGAGACTCTTACTAAGTCACCATGTCTTCCTCCATCTCCTGGCTTTGCCTCTCCTTCTCCAACAGATAAGAAATGACATTAAATTCTCTAGAGTACCTGGGTAGTACAAATGGTTAACGTGTTCAGCTGCTAACTAGAAGGTTGGAGGTTCAAGTCCATTCCAGAAATGCCTTGGAAGAAAGGTGCCTACTTCCTAAAATCTAATTCCAAAAACTCAGCCACTGGAAACCCCGGGGAGCACGGTTCGACTCTGATGCGCAGGGATGGCCGTGAGTGGGAATTGACTCTACAGGCTAAGGTTTTATCAGATTGCCTGAGGCTTGAACTGCAGGGGAGGGCTGAGAGGAGATGCGTTAAGGCACTAGATCTTCAGAACGGCCCATCTTGCTGAAGGTGCGGTTGATGGGGTTGGTGGTTGAGATGGAGAAGTGGGTCAGTGCTTACCTGTTAGCACATAAACATGGGGTTGATATTAGACAAACTTTCTGCCAACCAAGAGGCAGGGAATAGAAAGAAGGTGTAACAGTACTGAGACCAGCCCTGCTGGCCCGTTCCCAGGCTGACTGGGTGGCCCTCCCTCTGCATGGCCTGAAAGCCATTGGGTTTTGATTTGAAAGCACAAAATTCTCAACCATCATTCCTTTCTTTCTTTCTTTCTTTTTTTTTTTTTAAAAAAAGCTTTTTCTTGTGATTAGGGTGAAATTTTACAAAGTAGATTCGTCTTACATTCAGCAGTTCATGCACATTTTGTTTTGTGGCACTGGTTATTTCCTACAGTGTAAAAGCTCCCCTCCCACTTCCTCCCTGTGGTTACCCTTTTCCTGTGTCCTTCTCCCTATGCATTCCTGACTCCCTACATTTTTCCCTGCGCAAATGTTACCCTTCTGATCTCCCATCATGGATTGTTCTAAGGAGTGCATTTCCCTGGTGTAGGGGTTCAGCTGCTCCTAGTCCTGTCTATTGTTTGGCTGAGAATTCAGTTCCAGGACCAAAGGG